GTGGGATCACATCTCTGGTTAAAACCCTAGAATGATTTCTTTTTGCACTTGGAATAAAGTCCAAACTCCTGCTATATCTTATAAAAGTCCAATGTGACCTAACTCCCAGCTCCTTCTCTTGCCTCTTGCCCCACCTGCCTTCTCCCTCATTCTTTGTGGCCTCTGGGACCTTCTCTCTGCTTCCGACCAAGGGCAGCCTGACCCCAGCCCTTTGTACTTACTCTTCCATTTGTAAGACTGTCCCCAAACTTTCCCATGGATAGCTCCTCCTCATTATTAGGACCTTGGCTCCAATGTCACCTCCAAGAGCCCTTCAGGATCACTAGTGTAACTCAGCACCCGCAGGCATTCTTCATCACATTTGCCCATTTCAATTTGCTATAGAGTATTTCTTTTCTCCCTCTCCTCCCTCTTTCCTTCTTTCTTTTTCTTTTCTTTCTCACTTCTTCTTCCTCCTCCTTCTTCCTTTTTTTTGACAGAGTCTCGCTCTGTTGCCCGGCTGGAGTGCAGTGGTGTGATCTCAGCTCACTGCAACCTCTGCCTCCCACGTTCAAGCGATTCTCCTGCCTCAGCCTCCCAAGTAGCTGGGACTATAGTTGTGTGCCACCACACCAAGCTAATTTTTGTATTTTTAGTAGAGATGGGGTTTTACCACGTTGGCCAAGATGGTTTGATCTCTTGACCTCGTGATCCGCCCACCTCAGCCACCCAAAGTGCTGGGATTAAGGTGTGAGCCACCATGCCCAGCCCTTGGCATTTTTTTTTTGAGACAGAGACTTGCTCTGTTGCCCAGGCTGGAGTGCAGTGGCACAGTCTCACTCACTGCAACCTCCACTTCCTGAACTCAAGTGATTATCTTGCCTCAGCCTCCCAAGTAGCTGGGACTACAGGTGTGGTACAGCTGTGTGCCACCATGCCCAGCTAATTTTTGTAATTTTTTTGTCCCCAACCCCTAATTTTTGTATTTTTGAGGTGGGGTTTCACTATGTTGCCTGTGCTGGTCTCCAGCTCCAGGGCCCAAGCGATATCCCACCTCGCCTCCCAAAGCGCTGGGATTACAGGCATGAGCTACCGCGCCCAGCCATATAGTATTTTGAATAATCCGAAATTATCTTCTTGTTCTGTTCACTTCTTGATCGTTCATCGAATCTCCAGTACCTTTGTTTTTCTTCAATGCTTAGGATGGTATAGTATATATCATAGGTAGTTTGTTGCTTCTTGAATGAAACAGACTATTTTTTTTTTGAGACAGTTTTGCCCTTGTCACCCAGGCTGCAGTGAAGTGGTGCAATCTTGGCTCAATGCAACCTCTGCCTCCTGGGTTCAAGTGATTCTCCTGCCTCAGCCTCACAAGTAGCTGGAATTACAGGCATGGACCACCACACGTGGCTAATTTTGTATTTTTAGTAGAGACGGGGCTTCACCATGTTGGTCAGGCTGGTCTCGAACTCCTGACTTCAGGTGATCTGCCCACCTTGGCCTCCCAAAGTGCTGGGGTTAGGGCCTGAGCCACTGCACCTGGCCTTTTTTTTTGTTTTTGTTTTTGAGAGACGGGGTCTCATTCTGTCACCCAGGCTGGAATGCAGTGACACAATTGTGGCTTGCTGCAACCTCGACCTCCCTGGGCTCAGGTGACCCTCTCATCTCAGCCTCCTGGGTAGGTGGAACTACAGGCGTGCACCACCATACCTGGCTAATTTTTGTATTTTTTGTAGGGACTGGGATCTCTCTATGTTGTCCAGGCTGCTGTCAAACTCCTGGGCTCAAGCTATCTGCCCACTGTGGCCTCCCATTGCACCTGGCTGCCTATTTTTTTTTTTTTTTTTTTTTTTTTTT